GCACGATAAAATGGGCGATGGCGAAGTGGTTGGCGAGGTGAGCCCGCACTACAAACAGCTAGCACAGGACCGGGCGTTCAAACCAGTGCGGCAGATCTGGGCGCGTGCCAAACGCAGACCTCCTCTCTCATTTAGCTGTTTAGATTGAGGCGTTCGTTTTTCGTCAGTTCAGTAGCCAAGGTTTCGTTAGTTCAGAAGCTAAGGTTTCGTTAGTTCAGTAGCCACCTTACGACAGCCAGATCATCGGTAAACTCCGGAAACCAGCAGCATGCCTTGGTACGTGTGGTGGCCTGTCAGAGGCTATAGCGCACCGCAGAACTGAGGATATCAAGAGAAATGATCTATCGAATTTGATACAGGAAGATCAGTCGTGCGGTTGATTCCGTGGTTTACATATCCGTGTGTGGGAAGTACAGTCACAAGAAGTTGAAGTCAAAGCCTGCCTGTTGTCTTTGTTCGACAAGGAAAATAGACCCCGAATCGCAGTAGATGACTGCTGCGCCACCATGTTGCATAACAGGTCCATCCAACAGTACGTGTATTTGCAAACAGGATGCAACTGAAGGGCATTGTGCCCCACCAGCTGAAGTCGAAGTGTGACACCGAATGCATTAAAGGTATTGCAAAACGTGCTGCACTGCTGCCTGTTTCAAAGCATGGCTGCATGCCCACACGTTATCTGTCAAGGCAACTGTCATGAATGCATGTCGCGACAGACGAACGCATGCTAATGACCAATTAAGGACCGGCGTATCTTTGCTATTTGATTTCTCAGGCTGCGTGACGTACTTATTTTCCTATATCTTTACACGTTATCAGTAAAACGAGCGGTCAGTCTACCGCGGAATATATGATATGCTACATCTAAAATGGCGAGACATAAAATGACGTTGGCGGCGCTTTGCCGAGCTAACAGCGGCTGCATCGTCAGGCAAAAATGCACACATTTAGTGTACACCATGATGGTTTATCACAAACAAACCACAAAAACACAACGAAAATTGCACAGAAGCGTATGCAATGACAAACGACCTGACCCTAAATATACAGATATGCTTCATGTTGTCACGATTCCGAGGAACTTCATGAAGTGATATTGTTTTGTGCCAAATGGAGTCAAAATGTTTTTTGACTTTCGGAACGCCGGAGGGCATGGACGGGGAAAGATGCCTAGAACCGGGGATCTCAAAATGAGTTTATGGATAATCTTCAAGAAAAAGCCATTGCTCAGAAACTACCCCTTTAAACATTCAATTTCGGCAGCAAGAATCGATAAGTGTAGCCGAGATGGTGTGTCTCTCACGTTGACCGTCAGTATGGTACTGAGCATGAATGATTCTGGAATAAAAGCTGAAAAACTCGTGCCCAGCCCGGTGCAAGTAGGCTTTCTGTACACTTAACTCTTTAGACGACCACCCTCTTTCTGTACACTTAACTGTGTAGACGACCACCCTCTTTCTGTACACTTAACTGTGTAGACGACCACCCCTCTTTCTGTACACTTAACTGTGTAGACGACCACCCTCTTTGCGATTGAGGACGCATGCACACACACACACACACACACACACACACACACACACACACATATATATATATATATATATATATATATATATATATATATATATATATATATATTGCTGAAAACGCAATATTGAGTACAAAATGTACACGACAGCAGTCAATCGCTCTCAAGAAGTAAGACGTTGTCATAAACCTGGTCAAGCCAAAAATATAGTTCGATGCGCATTGAAGCCATGGGCAATAGGCATTCAATGTACGGGCCTGTGAAGCAGTTGGTCACTGCCTTAGCTCTAAAAACCCTTCACCCTGCGTGGAAATCTCCAATCAGCAAAGCATAGCACGTATTATGAGCGTTCGGGTCAGAATAAATTGAACTAAAAATTATCTCAATCATGATCAGAGCACACCTAGCGCCGGCCCGCGCTTGACTCGTGCCGGTTCCTCTCGGATCTTGAGGGCAGGTCGCGTGTCTCTGTGCGACGTCGCCGGAGATGCCGGTGATACACCAGCGTGGAGAGGCACTCACCGTCACCAGCTGGTCCGGTCCCTGCGCGCAGAGAGAGACCTGGGTCAGCACCGGCACAGGTCACACACCCGCAGCCACATATACACGCACGTGGTGCGGTGCAGGTTCATGCCCGCGCTGTACCGACAAAGGTAGTTATCCCAGTGACGGGCGCTTACGGGGAAGCCTCGACTGAATATAGGGCGCGGATGCCACATAGGAGTGCTGTTAACAAAAACAATGATTTCCCTTCAGTGCTCACGATCTACTCCGTCATACAAAAGCATATGGTTCCACAAGTCGCGGAGTGGCTTGTTAGACAGCCGCGACGCCGACGCTGGCACAACCCGGACCGGACGTGTGGGGTGATTATCCCATTCACGGGCGCTTACTGGGGCGCCTTGACTGCCTTTTGAGTGTGTAAGGCACTGATGCCAAAACGAAATGCTCTTGACAAAAACTACGATTTCCTTTCAGTGCACACGAACTACGTGCGTCATACAATAGCATATGGTTCCACAAGTCGCGGAGTTGCCTGTTAAGCTATCGCGGCGCTGGCACGTGGGGAGCAGTGTCTGCTGGTCTCCACACGGCGGCGTGCACCACAGTATCTCGTCTTGCAGTCTATATCGAGCTTCTCAGTCTGAGGCGGGAATCTCAGCCCGTCTCGGATGTCTCAGCCCGTCCCGGGCGTCTCAGTCTGTGTCGGGTGTCTCAGCCCGTCTCGGATGTCTCAGTCTGTGTCGGGTGTCTCAGTCTGTGTCGGGTGTCTCAGTCTGTGTCGAGCGTCTCAACCCGTCTTGGATGTCTCAGTCTGTGTCGGGTGTCTCAGCCCGTCTCGGGCGTCTCAGTCTGTGTCGGGTGTCTCAGCCCGTCTCGGATGTCTCAGTCTGTGTCGGGTGTCTCAGCCCGTCTCGGGCGTCTCAGTCTGTGTCGGGTGTCTCAGCCCGTCTCGGGCGTCTCAGTCTGTACCGGGCGTCTCAGCCCATCTCAGCCCGTCTCGGACGTCTCGGTCTGAGCCGGACGTCTCAGCCATCTCGAGCGTCTCAGTCTGTAATGAACGTCTCAGCCCGTCGCGGACATCTCAGTCTGTGTCGGGTGTCTCAGCCACCCCGTCCCACTGACCGAGTCTCGGGTGGCTATGAAGCCATGGCACATCCAGCGGCGCGTGGTGCCGTCCCGGCAGATGTAAGAGAAACCCCTCTCGTTGTTACGGTCTGGCGCGCAGAACGACACCTTTTCGATTGTCTGATCCACCAATAGACCCTGCCGGTTAGCGTATGACGTATTAGAAAAGAGGCATCCGACATCGCAAACCATGGAAATGGATGAGACAAAGCACACTGCCATCAGACGCAGATCACACCCCAGCAGGTAAGTTACAATCGGTAACGAACATCAGTCACCCAACATAGAAAACTAGGTATTAGACACGGCACGAAATTGTCTCGATTATCGGATCCATCGCCAGGTTCCGTCGAAACGGAACACCAAACACCAGACCGGAGCACAGATCCCAGACGGGTCGGTCTCATTGCGTACTTGCAGTGGCTAGCGGGTATGAAACAAGGGATTCGTTGTCCTCAGCGTGACTTTTCGGTCTCTGGAGCCGTCTCTATGACTTCGGTCATTCGAAGCATGTGCCTGGTTGAGCTAGGAAGCGTTGGGAGCAGCATCATAATCCCACATATCATTATTGACTGAAATTTGGACGGCACTTTTTGCGTTGTGAGGGAAAAATGGCGGCCTCATCCTCTCCAAGCTCCGGATTATTTTCATCATTATTTGAATATCTTGTTACGTTCGACTCCACATACTTGATGGCCTACTTGCCTTGGTCTCATCATCCACAACGCGCAGACCATCTCCCGAGATGAAGAGGACACTGCGCAGCGGGCGGCGTCTCTGGGACTGGAACAGAGGTCAGGCGGACCATCACCTCTGAACAGAGGTCAGGCGGACCGTCACCTCTGAACAGAGGTCAGGCGGACCGTCACCTCTGAACAGAGGTCAGGCGGACCGTCACCTCTGAACAGAGGTCAGGCGGACCGTCATCTCTCAACAGAGGTCAGGCGGACCGTCATCTCTCAACAGAGGTCAGGCGGACTGTCACCTCTGAACAGAAGTCAGGCGGGTCATCACCTCTGAACAGAGGTCAAGCGGACCGTCACCTCTTAATAGAGGTCAGGCGGACCGTCACATGCTGAGCACACACATTGATCAGCCGAGGCGTCGTCTCATCCGAAGTAGTGCATTATTGATGCCTGTCCTCCCTGTTTCGTCGCCTCGCCGGCTGGATGAGTTGAAGCAATTCACTGGGGCATCCTACGGCACATCCGCCCCAACTGACTACAGGCCTGTACCCTGTTGATCGTACGTTGCTGCCTGCCAGAACGTTTCAGTTTGTGCGTCAATTGGTTTCGTCTCACAATTACCACCCAGCGATAATTTAACACAAATAGTCTTGTGTTACCGATAAGCCATTCTGTTGATGCATGCATAGCCTGTTACGGGTTCTGCTCACACTAAAGCTTGTTTCTGTGACAGTTTTAGTTGTTTCAACCGTTCACTCGCAACAGGCACTATTTATGCCAAGTTTAGACCGCGAAAGGGTTTGACCTTCCGTCTGTCAGCAATGTGCGGCGATATGCGCTGCTGTAAAAGTGATACGACGCGGTGAGTAAAAGTCGCATTGCAAAATTTATGACACCTACTTTGCTTTGCTCTATTAGGAATGAACACATTCTTTTATGAATCACAAGCTCGCCATTATTCCATAATCAAAAAGCCTGGACGCCGTTGAGCTTCAATCATATGAAGCGTACTTTCATAAGTTCTGGTGTTTACCATGGTGTTGCCTGATACATGTTGGTACATTTTACCATTCAAATTTTAAAAAATACCGAGGGTATATCAATGGCAGGTGCTTAGTGGAATTCTAAGTTCGAAAGCTGGAGCCGGTCCGGTATCTGCCAAAGCGTTACAATCAATCTTGACAAGTAAACCCAGCAACGACAGTACTTACCTTGAGCAGTTTGAGAGCGTCTTCACAGACCTGCATGCCTCGGGACTCGTAGACCTGAACACAGCCGAGGTACTGCAAAAGAGTAGAACATGACCCGAGGTCAGATGGTTAGACACGGAGACCCTACGCTTCCAGTGCACGATAGTTACCTGTGTACAGCTTCCATGCTTCACACAATATTTTAAAACATTTGTGAGCACTGGCATTCAGTGTCGTGGATACAACGCTGGCCCAACAAAGAGACGGACACCCAAAAAGTAGCGATAAAAGGGACAGCAAAACACAAAAATCACGCTGCCAACATAGAAAACACGGTAGAAGACTCGGACCTCACCTTGACGTGGAAGGAGCAGATGCCTTTCTTGACGGCGGCCCTCGTCGCCCTGCCATTGTCGGGGCCCGACTCGGCCGGAAGGTACTGCTTCCGCCGGAAGCTGTCCCGCAGCGACCGCCTCAGCCTGTCCATGGCGCCGCCCCGCGCCTGCGCTGACAGGCGCAGGCACCGCCGCCGCGCCGGCCGACGTGTCCCAGCCTGAAGCGGAGTCCCGCAGGGTGCTCACTAAGTGCGGCTGGCCAGCACGAGCTGCGCCACGCATCCGTGCGTGCAACAATGAATGTTTGTGATCTTAGTTGTGTGCCGTGCGAAAGACCGCTGTCACGTTAACTCACACATCTTTGAAGTTGACTGGACTTCTTACAGTGCGCAATACCGCTTCAAGGTAAAAAAAAATCATTAAAAACGGCACCACCTCTGGGATGTCCGGCCACAACTAGTCTCAGCACTTAGCCTGATGAAACATGCCTTAGTCAACATCGAACACACTGAGACAAGGCACGACTGAGTTGGTGATGAAGCGATGAAAGTGTACAGTAAACCACCTAAACAACAGCTAACTGGAAACTATTTTTTATGATGAGCCGCCGCAAAAACTATGAAGAGAGCTGTTATGAAGAGCTCTTTTAACGCTGAAGACGCTGCGGACGTGGCTCACAGTTTGTTGGAATCATGCCCATGTATTTCTGAGAAGTATTGCGATGAATGCCTGTTCGTTTGAGCCGCAAAGAATCCAAAGTGTGGTGCAATGATGTATTCAAAGTATTTCATATCCTGCTTATTCATTTAAGCAGACGTTTTACCGCCGTCGCTGCCGCATTCATAACAACACGCATTGCCCGTGATCAGCCTCCCGCAGCCAGCCGAGTGCAAGGATTTCAACTTTCTTTTCCACGTATCCCTCCGCTGTGAAGTTTGCGACGAGCTCCTTCCTCGCGCTTCTTCCACGACGCGTTCCCTCGTTTGTTGAGAATCTCAGCCAACTGTGCGGCGGAAACCCCGACCAAACAGTTCGTTTCAGGCAGGGCGCTGGCGGCAGTGACTTAATCAGCCGCGCCGAGTCCTTGGGGAACGTCCAAGGACATTTGGCACCCGCGGGGAGTCGCCGTGTTCACTAACGTTAACTGGCGTCGGGTCGCTGCCGGCATATATCGCCCCTGGCTCGTCCGCCGAGGCATCGATCGCTGACCAAGGCCGCCGACGGACTTGTTAAAAACGATGGGAACCACGGCCCAGCGCTGCTTTTATACGCTGAACGCCCGCTTGATAAGCCCTTCACCATTTCGGAGAACGACTTCGGGCTACAGCGTCAACGTGGGAAAGGCTTTTGAATGTATCAAGATATTAAGCAGTTGCTCAATGAACGAAGGACTAACTATGGCACAAGCACAGTTTTGCTTTGGGGTGCAGGGAGAACTTCCAAATTTCCAGCCTACAAATGCAAAGCGTAAAGTCTTCTTGTTATATTCGCTTCCGTGGCAGCTGTGCTTAATTATGATTAAGTACACGCTGCATCAGGGGGGTAAGGCAAGATATTGAAGCATTGGGGTTTGGCGAGGGAAGGCCACAACACAAAATGTTGACTAAAAAAATGTTTTAATGCATCACTTTTGAGCAAAATGCCTTAAATGGCGTTTAACAATGCCGCAAGCGTTTAACCTGCGCTGTTTACGGTAAGCACCACACAGTGTAAGCGTAAACACGAACAGCTTAAGTGTCCGTCGGGATTTTTTATTGCCGGCATTTATACACATGGATATTAAGACAAGACAAAATCCGACAGAAGGGGAGCGCACGTGCAACAATGTGCCCCACCTGTCTTAAAGACGCTCCCGCGCTGCCCCTCGGATCAAAGCGGCGGGACGTGTTGTTGTAAGTAGTTATACTATTGATACACAGTTGTCGGTAATTATCTGACGGCGAAAGTTCACTGTAAGTAATGTGTGTCTGAGCGTTTGTTTCACATTCCAAGCTGCACAGTTCTTTTTAACTCGCAACCTGGGATGTTATGAGATATTGGGTCCTTGTAACTGGCCGTCTTTAATCAGCCATCCTTAAACCCTTTGCAAGATCCACAAAACAAGCGAATCCATGACGAGTTACGTAAGTTGTTCAGTGCATTTGCGAGAAACATTATTCACATAGATTTCTGAGATTGTTTCGGTAAAAACATTTTGGAAAATATCAACCCACCTATATCTCCACTCTTCTGGTTTTTCTCCGGAGAATAAGGCTACTTCTATTGTCTTATCTGTGAATCCATGACAAGTGGCAATAACTGTTGCCTACGAGTTTTTTGCTTTCGCCATTCGAGGGGGTCCCAAAAGTGTCCAAAGATCCCGAACTAAGCAAGGGAGAGCTACGCTGAAAACACATTTAAAAGCTCTTGTCAAAGTGTACGGGTCAGACAATGTGGCCTTTGGCAAGTCAAATCAGGTCAGTTGGGTTAAATTAGCAATTTATGGAGCCCTCCTGCAATCCTAAGAACTAGGCATGCTAAAGCAATGTGGAATGCGGCATTAAGATCGTTGTACACGCACTAGCATATGCCCACACATGTGGCCTGTGCTATTTCATGTCAGGTCAAATAGGTAAAGGCAATTGTTTTGCTGGCCCGTCCAGCTATGTTGAGAACAAAACAAGCTACATAGCTGCATTGGTGCAATGTGGAGAGCATGGTTAGAAATTCCATTGTAAGAGGCAGAACGGTGTTCGAATGACTTTTTCGCCTGATCACAAATGTCAAGGTTTTACCCAGTTTGACCTTAAATGATATGACCAAGCAAAAATTGCCCGAAAAAACTAAAGCACTTCAGTGATAAATATAAGAAGACGGGTCCAAAGAACCTCTTTGAATTGCCTTTCTTGCGATCTATAAGCGTAACGCGTCGTTCCTTACCAAAATGTCACCAACATGGCCTTGAGAAAGTGGTCATCGATTATAAACCTCCATGACAACAAACTTCGTACATTCACATGTTTAAACACTTACGTGAACTCAGTCACCCAAAAAGTCAGCACCGTGCTCAAGAGCGTTAAGCAATTATTCAGGAGAGCCCAATGGGAGACTTGAGGCTTCTCCTTTCGTAGGACAAGGGTTAAAACACTCTACAAACCCGGGCTTACACTGATGGGGCTTCCAGCATGCATCTTGGTTGTAAAACATTGTGTGTATCTTTCAATGTCTTCTCTCAGTTGACGCCATTTCGGCTGCCTTACCATTGGGACGGACTAGTGAGAGCTCGAGAACGACGTTGTTTTGACGAATGGTGGCGCGCTTCACGTTCCTGTCCGCTGCGTTCCCCTCCCCCTCCCTCTACCGCCACGCCTGGCCGAACGCCTCTGTCGGCCCTGACTGCTCATAACAACCTTCGGAGAACATCGTATTTCACGGATTGTGACAGAGCGGGTCGAGACGGGCCTGAAACCTGGAGTCTACGCAGAGCGTGAGGTCTTCGGCCAGTCAGCTGACGTTAGAACCTGGCTTCCGACTCTCTGGATCATTCCTATCCGAACCGTGAGCCGTCGCTCCTGCTGAGTCTCAGCAGAAACGCATTGCTTGAGATCCCAGTCCCTTGCTTTTAATCACGCATGGCATTGCACTTCCAAAACAGTCCACATACCTGCACCACCTTTATGCATGAGTACGCGCGCCATCTGAGCCCGTCGCACAACCCGACAGGCTCTGACCGCCCCCCCCCCCCTCGCCCCCTCCCCCCCTCCCCCGCCCACATACCTGACGATCGCGCCGGGGCTGGCTCGCTCCGTGACGATGTCACCGGAGCGTGCTGGGTCACGCGCCGTGACGTCAGACACCCACACGAGTCGCGCCGAATGGCCGTCCGCCCCCGACGCTGTTACGAGCTGCTCTACTTTGTCCTCCGGGACCCCTCTGCAGCAGCAGGCTGCGCGGTGGGCTCCTGCCCCGCGCCTGAGGCTTGTGAATGCCGCGGTATGTGGTACTGAAATAATGTGTTGCGCTCAGCGAGACCGAAGGGTTTCGGCGTGTACCGTGTGCCGGGTTGTGGAGTCGTGCCTTTCCTACATTTTGCGACCACATTGCGTCTGGCTGCGAGGGAGGATCGTGCAGCTCTGGTAGGAGTCCGCCATTGACATAAATGACTTCAGGTAGATAAATTGGCCGCACCCATTACCCCGCCGTCGTAATTGTGTGAATGAAGCAGTGCCCGTACGTCCCTTGGCAAGCGCCCCAGCACGTTTTTTTCACGTCGTTTGTGATGTTGCGCACTGCGATTGGTGTTCTCTTTCTTCCGCGACGGGCTGGGAGTAAACGTGACTAACTACCCGCGCAAGGATACACACATTTGCAACGTTGCATGTGCACTTCATTAGTGCGTGGGAACACAGTACAACAGCACAAAGCGTACTTAATGCACGCCTCGTTGCAGGATGCACTCATTTGCTTCCTTCTCTCGATGTCAGACACGCCGCTAATGACATTTACTTCTGGTAATGCACCCTCCGATGCACCCGCACGGTTTCATCTCAGCCACTGCTAATGAGCTGAGCAGCGAGGTGCACACAGCGAGAAATGACGCTCCGCATCGCTCTTTGATCACTTTGGTTCATTTGGCTGAAGCGAGACACGCTTAATGCTCCAAGTTTTTCGGCATATCAAGTAGCAATGCTGTAAATAACCGACCCCCTGTATATCAGGAGGCACTGGTTGAAAAAAAGACATAACACAAGCCCTGCAACATATAAAATGTCCCAATTTCCCTAATGTAAGCGAGGAAAGGCCTTCTGGATTTTTTCCTAGCCTTCTGGATTTTTCAGTAAATTAAGTTTGAAAATTATCGGCCTTCAATATACTAAGGGGTGCTGGTTTAGGGGCGTTACCAAAGCAAGCGATGCATTGGGTACATTGCCAAAACTCGGCGCTTCAAGCTATGCCGATGCCTACCACGCATGAACACAAGTACAGCTTGAGACGTCCTGTTTTGGCACCATAACCAGTCAGTGATGTTGCTTGAGACGTCGTCTAGGCAGTATTTTCTGCTGGCAATAGCTGACCCTATCGAAGGTCGATTATTGCTAACAACAGAACTCCAAACGCATAATTCCCAAATTTTTCACAGCGCTCACGGTTCCTTCAATGCGCTGGTGTACTG